AATACCCTCTTGAGCGAGGAAAAGATCTATGAATTTGAAGTCAAGCAAAAGTCGAAGTTTCCATGGCTGTTTGGCCGCATTCGGAAACTCCAGTCACCGAGGCGTCTTGGTCTTTATCTCCCAACAGCGCAGGATATCTTCGACTGGTAGGCGGCGGTGTAGGGCATGGGAGGTACTTCGAATCGCCCACCACATAGAACCTGTTGATACCAGTCAGCCATAGTTTAGCAAATTGCTTTCGTTAAGCCAAGAAGGCTGTCAAACCCCAATCTCGGATAGCCTCCCATCGAGTCGTCTTCGAAACTTGAGCTCGGTCCTTCGGGGTTGAGCCCCCGAAGTCGTAGTGAATTTGATATGCGACATGCTCGAGACGGGTGGTCATGCCGACATCGTCCCAAGGAAAGCCTGGAAATGCACATAGCGGAGAGCGGAGTCTGCTCCCCACGCGAACCAAACCCCCACGAGAATGAAGACTCCGACCTTTGGAGCTGGAGCTGGAGCTACGCCGAAAGCGGCGGCGTCGGGCTTTTGCCGTGTGTCGTGGGGAATCATTGTTGGGCAGGGGCCGTAATCCGAGAAACAGAAATGCAATGACCGAACAGCAAAATGCCTTTTTTGCAGGTAGATAATAAGTTGAGAATACGAGAGCAAAGTCCAGATCAAAGTTCACCATCGAGAGGAATCTCAGCATGACGATCTCTTATCCAACAGTATCACCGCTTCGCTGCGGCTATCTCTCGCCTCCAGCATGGAAGTTCGTGGCGGATGCGAAAGAGGGAGAGAAACTGACCATGCCGTCAATGGCCTTCTTTATCCAGCACCCGGCATCAAAGTCGAAAATTGTCTTTGACCTGAGCATCCGGAAAGATTTGACCAAATACCATCCCGGGCTACAAAAGCACCTCGAGACGCGGCACCCCTTGAGCAGCCAAGACGATGTGAAGTCGGCGTTGGCACTGGGAAATGTGGAAGCCTCACAGATCAACTATGTGATCATGAGCCACGTGCACTGGGACCACGTAGGCACTCCGTCCGACTTCACCTCTGCAACTTTCATTGCCGGCCACAATACGGGCAAGCTCCTCAGAAATGAAATGGGACCAGACCTGGCAAACCCTTTCTTTGAGCCCGACTTGTTGCCAGCGGATCGCACGATCGAGTTACCGGCGGTACCAAGCTCCAAAGCCAGTGAGGTGTTTGACGAGGCTCACGGGTGGTATTGGCAGCCCGTGTCTCTGATCCAAAATGCCATAGATATGTTCAACGATGGCACTGTGTATATCGTGGATAGCCCAGGCCATTTGCCGGGACATTTGAATGTCTTGGTCCGAGTGGCCGTCAACAAATGGGTTTATCTGGCTGCTGATGCTTGCCACCACATGCGGATTTTCAACGGCGAGACGGACTTCGGGGCCTGGACCGATGAGAAGGGACGGACGACCACGATTCATAAAGACCTCGAGGCAGCATACAAGACGCTAAACATGATGCGCGTGCTGAAAAGAGACGGGCTGAATGGCGTCCCAGTAGAGATTGTTCTCGCCCACGATGGGGAGTGGCAGGAGAAACACTCGGACCGTTTCTTTCCCAACCATCTGTGAAGAGGTAGTGATAACTTGCATTGCATAGCATTTGATATCAATCAGTGCACACGGGGCGTAGCTGGAGGCATGAACGGGCTCAATATGCAATGTGAACTAGCCAATAGGGCACTGATGTGACGAGGTGGTAGCGGTTCCGGCTCCTGTCTGCCTCTAGGGAGGACTGCTGTATGGCAGCGACATGTTCTGTGGTCTTCCCCATGTATCGGTACCAAGGTGGAGGGCCCTCCTCGCCGCGCCAATGCAATATTCCAGGGCGTAATACACGTGGGATCGGTAATCGTTATCCCGAAGCGATATCTCTCCACGCATGCAAGTACACAACTGACGACGAGACAGACCGCCTGACGAGCCTTGACATGGTCTGCCCACCTCTCGGCCCGATGAGAATCGTTCCATGGGCTTGGGTCTCAACGCATCTCTCGCTGGACATAGTCTCTTCAAGTGCCACATTTGGAATCCCAGCGGGAAGTTGCTGAATCACAAAGCATGGGGGTCGTCATGGCCCCAGTGGCGGGGGTTAGACTGACCCCCACAATAGAGGATCGATAGCATTCTGGAAATGACATTGGGGACGTTTGGGGATGGCTGTTCCCTGGCGAGCTCGTTTTCCCCCAGTAGGATCTCCCTCCTTACATGGTGGCAGAATGGCTGGCGATCCACCGCGGCAATTCTCCTTTTTCGAAATAGCTGAGGAGCATGTCACCGTCGTGGCCTTGTCATGGGGTTCTTTGATGGTATTGCCACGTCAACAATTGCAGTGTTGCAATGTTGCAGTCTTGTAGTCAGGTTGGAGTATGTCGAGTCTGTCCTTCAAGCTTTCTCCAAGACTAAAACGAAGGGCAGAGAATCGCGGGGATTTTAGAGTTTCCGGCTCTGTCGGATTGCGGCGTTTCTATTCGTTCAAACTGATCAAACTCCCAAAGTCTCGGCATCAATTCCGCTCCGCTGGCGGGTCGCGAACTTTTTCTCCCGCGGACGCGTGGGAGTGCGAAATTGAAACTGTCCAAGCCCGGACTCTGGCATAGGAAAAGGTTGTGACAGTATGAATGCAGTGCAGGGCACATTGATGCCCTTTCTCTACCCTTGCCTCTTGCAGGCCTCCTCTCTAAACTGCCTACGCGCTCAAGCACGGCGGATTCGATTCCACAACCGTCTCCGCCTGCGATACCTACATCAAACATGTCGACTCAATAAACCTCCCACTCTCGACACGAATGCGTCTCTCCACGATCCTGCTCTCGAGGCTTCCACGCCGCCCACTCATGCTGCTCTGTCACACTTGAATCCTGCTCCCGATGACTACTCCCGATCGATCTTCATTGACAAATGCCAAATAACGGTCCACGCAGGCTCCGGTGGGAGCGGGTGCGTTTCATTCCTCCGCGATGCTCATATAGCCGATGGCCCACCAAATGGCGGTGATGGCGGGTCTGGCGGAAACATCTTCATACAAGCTGTCCCTGGACAAACATCTCTCCACAAACTTGCCAGACGAGGCATCATAAAAGCGGGACGCGGGATAGGAGGCCAAGGAAAGTCCCAGGGAGGACGCAGGGGGGAGGACATCTGTGTCCAAGTCCCCGTGGGGACGGTCGTGCGAGAAATTTGGCGGAGCGACCCCAGTGTGGAGGAAGAAATTCGTATCAAAGAACTCCGCGCGATTAGCGACGAAGAGGACCCCCTTAAGGTCCCAGACAACGGGCTGAGAAATAAGTTCATCATCTATGCCGGCGCCACGACCGCCAACGACCGCAACCAGATCTCGTCGAATTTGCCCTCCCTCAATTCCCACTTGCTGAAACCGAGAAGATCACATCTTGCCATTCTCCAACCTCGCGCACCGATCCACCTCGACCTAGACAAGCCAATGGACAAACCAATTCTCCTTGCCGCCGGAGCCGTGGGTGGACTGGGAAACCCACACTTTGCGACGAAATCCGACCCGAAGCCGAAGTTCGCGACCAAGGGTGAATTGGGCGTGCGGATCAAACTCGAATTGGAACTGAAGCTGTTGGCGGATGTGGGACTGGTAGGTCTGCCCAACGCGGGCAAAAGCACATTCACACGGGCGATATCAAATTCGAGGACGAGGATCGGCGACTGGGCGTTCACCACTCTCTCACCCACCATCGGAACGGTCATCCTGGACAACAACGAAGGGCGACCGTTGGTGCGCTCCGGCGTGCCAGCTACAGACTCGAGCAGCCCCTCTACATCCGGAAGTATCGTGCCTCGTCAGTCTTTCACCGTTGCAGACATTCCCGGGCTTATTGAAGATGCCCATCTGGACAAAGGTCTCGGCCTCTCCTTCCTCCGACATATTGAAAGGGCCAGGATCTTGGCATTCGTGGTCGATCTATCTGCCGGAGACGCCGTCACGCAGTTGAAGGCCTTGTGGAAGGAAGTTGGGGAGTATGAAAATCTCAGGGATCGGGAAGTGAGTGAGCAGACGCAGGCGAGGCTGATCAATTGGTCGCCCTTCGAGGCTCAAGCAGCGCCGCCCGCGGAGGACGAGCTGTTCAACGAGGATGGAGAGAAAATCTCGATTTTTCCGTCTGGAGGGCCCTCTCGATCATCCTCAACACTCGACCCGTTGACGTATCCTCCGATCAGCGCGAAACCCTGGTTCGTCATCGCCACAAAGGCAGACATCCCCCAGTCAACGATTCAGGCGACCGCGTCGGAAGAAGCCGAGGCCACATCCACACAGGCAAACTTTCTGTCTTTGGCAGCTTATATAAAACAAGTGGCGCATGGGGAAATCGAACACCCAAGCGGGAAGCAAAACGGCTGGCGGAATCGTGTCGCAGCGATACCTGTTAGTGCAATCAGGGGTGAAGGAATCGACAAGGTGATTAGATATACAGCGGGCGTTCTGGACAGTCTTGTCGTTGGTTGCTAGACTTCGAGATGCCGTAAAAGGGGCCGATAGAGGGAGGCAGTCTGAGGAAATTCAAAGCACCATGGGTCGTGAGGCCTAAGGACATAGTGTACAACATTTTGATTTAAAACATACAACTCATAAGGTAGTAAATCAATAGTAGAACCGTAGACGTGTTGAAGATGCAGTGGTATTCAGCTATTCAGCCATATAGGCACTAAGGCTGCTCTCTGTGAATATTCTCACACGAAGCTGACAGCAAGCCCACCGTGATACTGATGCTATTACGATGAGGTCTTTAGGACACATACCGTCCCTCCCTCCACAAGAAGCGCAAGAGCACGTACACCTTCCCTTCTCTCACGAAACCCGAATGAACAATGAAATCAACAGTAGCACACGCCAGCTTATTGATTGGCCGACATACTCCTTCGATATTGCTGAGCGTTGGCGTGCAGAAGATTCTCTCTGCGCAATAACTCTCTGCCCAATCTTGTTCTTGGAGGAGTCAACCACTAGAAACTCCTACCTGGAGGTCCGAAGCTATTTGGTTGGCCGACAATGCCACCCAGGGGACTGGTATGGTGGATATGTTGGCTGTGACCCAACAAAGGACTGCCTATCTCGCCAACGCTGCCTCTGGGTGGATGGCTTGGGGCATCCTCGACAAATTTGATCACTTGTCCTCTGGCTTTGTCGATGATTACCTCGAATGATCCGCCGCCATTCTGTGAGTTGCCCTCGGTGTCGCAAATTCCAAGCATCTCCTCCATGGAGACTGGTGGTTCGCCTGGTGCTTTGAGACTCTCCAGCTGTCGGAGCACATTCTGCACTGGATGATACCCGTCGGCACTTGCAACCGGGATTTGTGACAATTGACGGCAAGCTTGAACAAGCATAAGTCTCACTGCGATCGGCCGTGGGAGATGAGACCTTGACATGGTTTGAGGCCCAGAGCCAATGGCTCCAAAGGGGGGTTGTCCCCAACCCGGGCTAGGACGTTGCGATCCGTGTGGACCCCAACTACCAGGAGGGCCCATGCCAGGGTTGAAGCCGCCCCAACCAGGATTCCCCATTCCGAATGGTTCCTGCTTGTGCTCCGGGAAGCTACTCGCGAATGGTATCCTTGCGGAACCAGGCGGACCGAGAGGCGGAAGGTTCATGCGTGAATCCGAATTCCCCAAGAAGGGCGCATCTGAATCGTCCAACAACGCCTTGCTACCGAGTTGTGTGGCCAGATGATCAATTTCCCTGTCCGGAGTCTTGTTGTGTGGTTTCTGTTTGTCCGGAGTGGTACTGGATGGTCGTGCGATGGGTCCTAGCCCAGGTCTGCCTATCGGAGCCTGCTCGCTGGATGGCTGTCTGGAATGTACTTGAGGCTTGGGCACTGGTTGTTGATTGACCATAGGAGGTGCCTGATTAGGAGGTTGTGGGACAAAGGGCATTTGTTGACCTGGTTGGAATGGCCTCGGAAACCCCGGAGGATACTGCATGCCGTTCTGGGAAAACCGCTGCTGATTAGCCATCGGAGGCCCTTGGTACATGTGCATCGGGGGCATCATGGTCGGCATCATCCCTGGAGCACCCATCGGTGGTGGTCCACTTACTCCCAATCCAGGCAATCCATTCATGTTGAATGGATATTGACCCCGGCCGTGGTTGTTCAATGGCGATCTCGGGGCGGAGGGTTGCGGGTGGTGGAGTGGTGGAGGCTGGCCTTGTGCTTTCGCTGGCTGTCCAAGGGCTGGCGTTTGAGGCATGGCGACGGTTGCTGGAGAAGCAGAGCTCTGAGATATCTCAGTGCTAGCTTTCTGTGACCGCGGAGATGAGCCATGAGAATGCTGGCCAGGTTGTGAAGGTTGTCGATTCCGTACAGGCGTCGGGACTTTCGGAGGGATAACCGGTGTTGCAACAGACACTTGAGGGGACTGTATGCTTGGACCGCGCGATGGAGGCTGCAAGCCAGGAGGAAGCGCCACAGGTTGCTGTTTTGTCGGGTGTTGATGGGCTGCACGTTCTCTGGCTTCCTTTTCCGCCCTCAAAGTCGCCTCTTTTTCCTTCCGAGCCTGCTCCTCCCTCACCCTTCTCTCCCGGTCTTCCTTCGCCTTTCGCTCCTTGGCCTCCTTCTCCTTGGCTTCTCGCTCCTCGCGCTCTTTCTTTTTCGTCTCTTCGCGCTTCTGCCGTTCTCGCTCCTTGGCTTCCCGTGCCTTGCGCTCCTGTTCGGCTTGGCGCTCGCGTGCTTCCTGTTGCTTGCGATGTTTCTCAGCTTCCTTGCGGAGTCTTTCCTCCTCGGCGGCTTTCTTCTCGGCCTCCCGCTTCTTGCGTTGCTCTTCCCGGCGATGTCGTTGTTCCTCTAGCCGCTTTTCTTCTAGTTCTCGCGCAGCTGCTTCCTGAGCAGCTTTTTCCGCCTCCTTCTTTGCTTTCTCCTCATCTTTCGCTTGTTTCTGGAGTCGCTTCTTTTCCTTCCGCTTAGCGGCTTCTCGGGCCTTCTTTGCTTCACGCTGCGAGTCAAGTCGGCTCTCTTCGTCTAATTCCTCGAGTAATTTTCTCTGCCGTTCGGCGGCAACCTTCTCTCGATAGGCTGTCAAGACACGCTGTTCAAACATTCGAGCGGCAAAGATTTGGAACATGCGTCGACCTTCTTCCATGCGCTGTTCTTCGGTCATGGAATCCTAAGGCAAAGGTGTCAGAAGTTTTGCAGACAACAATGAAAGCCTCCACTGACCATATCGTCCCCCTCAAAATCATCCTCTTCTTGCGAGTCATAGTCCTCGTCATCTTCCTCATCGTCATAGTCATCGTCATCGTCTATGGGAGGATGATTGTGACCTTGATGAATGTCTCGATGAGCTAATGACGAGGAATGGTAGCGAATATCTTCCTCACGTTGCATGCGTCTCTCTGCCAATTGCTCCATCATGTCTATGAAGTGTTTTCCATCATTCTTCAGCAAGTCGTCCGCAACGGTGAGTATACCATCTGTACAAGCTGTTAGTCCATCAAACAATTCAGAAGAACATGGCAGCCAGACCCTTCACAGTAAGACTGTTGCCGAATTGGAAAAAGTCGGGCGGACCAGGCGGCAAGCCATGATCATCGAGTTCTCCTTCATCGTCGCTATAGCCGTCGTCGTCTTCATCGTCGTACTCGTCATCGTCCTCGAGATCCTCCTCGTCGTCTTCGATCTCATTGATCCGACTTCGCGAAGGGTACGACCCGGCCATGGGATGTGCTGTTCGTTTAAACGGAGGACGAGGAGGGGCCATCATCTGAGGAACATTGGAGAGATCCGAGTTGTGGTTGGCAAACTGTTCGAGTTCCTCGTAGTAAGCGTCGTATAGCACCTCCAATTCTTCCTCAATAGCCGTGCGTTTTCGTCCGCATACGGAGCAGCTGCATGAGTGCTTCTGCTGTTCCTTCATTTTTCGCAGGACCGCTTCCTTCTCAACCTTGACCAACGATCGTCGCTCGTCCTCCCCCAGTTCCAGCCAAAACTGCTTGATGTTTTCCCGCTCGGCCTGAGTTGAAGTATTCCAGATGTGATCACTTGAGAGTTTCTGAGATGCCCTCATCGCAGCATTTGATAAAGGTGGAATATTAGAGCGAGATAGCATGGTTGAAGTCCTCGACAGGGCATCGTTAGCGGTTTTGGATTTCTTCCGTTTACTGGTATTTAGCCACGAGCTGTCTGGCATCGCATCTGCTCCTTCTCCGTAGTTAGGGTCTTCGTCGCCGCTATAGAAAGCTTCTTCCGGACTACCAATATCTGGATAGGCAGGATCTGCGGGATCGGGATAGTCAGGTTCCTCAGTGAAATAACCCTTCACAGGGCCCCGGCCCTGTTTTACAGGCGGTAGTTGTCCATTTGGTTTGCTCTCTGGCGCAGGAACATGACCATTAGGCATTGGTATGTGCGTATTCTCCGCGGCCCGTTTTGCAGCCTCTTTTTCCCGTCTCTTTTGCTTTTTGCGATTTACAGCCGTGGTTTGAGCAGGCTCTCCAGCTGATTCGGTGGTGTCACCGGTCTTCAGATCTGCGTCTGACTTTGCATGTGAGGGCTGGCGGTTCAAAGAAGAGGTCGACGACATCGCCGGCCCGGAACTTTGCAGGGGTTGAGGTTGTGCAGGCGCATCCTTTGCTGAAGTGGTCGCGGGCAACGGCTGTGGTTTGGCTGCGTTCACCTGGGTGCTGGCTTTCTTCTTGGAAGGCATAGCGCCAAGCCGTCACTGAAGGACTGCGAGGTTCGATATCGATGTTGATCTTGCTAGGTTCACATCAAAGGCACGGCGGTTTCGGTTGCTGGTGGGGTATCACAAATTGGTAAGTGACGACCACAGGAGATGCAGCAGGGATGGCAAACGGACAAGGAGGGTGAAGGAAGGGAGACGCCGAAGAGCCAAAGGTGTTGAAAAGGAGAAAGCGAGGGTTATGGCGGGACAATGGCGGCTCCAGGGTGTCTGAACGTGAAAGAAGTTGAGTTGTTCGATGTCTAAAGTCCCAAAGCCCAGTCCCAGTTGGGTTCAACTTCAGTTTCGTGGGGCGGCGACGTCCAGTTGAGGCTGCAGTTGCGCTTCGCGGTGCAGTGCCTCCCCCAGGGAAGCTGCGGTGCGGCAAAGGGGCCTTGAAGGCACGTCTGGGTGGCTCGCTGTCCGCCGAGGAGCCGCCAAACAGGGTTCAATAATTGCCCTGTCACCCATTGTGGTACGCCAATTATAGGCCTTCTGCTTCCCAGCCATTGCAACTCCAGTCCTCCGTCTATACTCGTACCACAGCCGACGTCGAGAAAACGCATCTCTGGCGCATTTCAAGCCTTGACTAACCGACAGCTGCGATTTTATCATCATCCCCTTCTTCGTCCGACGGCAAGGATTGCCCCTTATCGCGAGATCCAAAGCCCTGGTCACCAAGAGATCTATTTGTGGCTGCGCCTCAACCACTGCCTCGTCTCAAGGTCACTACCGTGCCGCTCGGGGTGGATTTGGTTCTCCGTTGGACCCCACGAACTGCCAGCGGACTAGTCTCAGTCATTCAGAAACAAGATAGCCTGTTCCCCAGCTACGGTACAACATCGTTGCAAACGACTGAAACTGCGGCTGGTGGTGCCGGTTGCTGGTGGAGGTGAACGTACCCCGATTGTGGATTTGTTTCGCTGGCTTCGCTGTATGCGACCTCAGTTGCGTCCAGTTGCGTCCAGTTACACCAGGCCGCTCCTCCACTCCCCTTTGACTTCATTTCAGCTCGTCCTCACTCTTATCCGCTGCACAACGCCGACTTAAGATCCTCGAAGCCCTCGATCCGCTTCTTCTTTTCTCTCATCCGCAAAAGCAACTCACCGTCTTCTTCGAGAGCTTCTAGGGCCTGTGAAGCTGTCCTCTCGCCCACCATTTCTGTAGTTCCGTGATCTGTCAGCCCGTGGGACACAGCCCGGACAGCTTCTACCAACATGGCGCAGGACCAGGCACAACAGAATGTGATGAGAAGGTATGTCGGTCCCGTCCACTTCGACTACCACGTGGTGTGAATAGCGATGCCAATGCATCGCTATTCCCCATAAAAGGCTGCCAGAGTCGCGCGCTTGGCAAGAAATCCAAAGCAATAACTGATGTGTCTATTCTATAGGAAGCTCGTTATAATAGGCGACGGTGCCTGCGGCAAGACATCACTGCTATCAGTCTTTACACTCGGCTATTTCCCCACCACCTACGTTCCCACCGTCTTCGAGAACTATGTCACAGATTGTCGAGTGGATGGGAGATCAGTACAATTGGCCTTGTGGGACACAGCAGGGCAAGAAGACTACGAAAGATTGAGGCCGCTTGCATACGCAAAATCACATGTCATCCTAATCGGCTTCAGCGTCGACAGCCCCGACAGCTTGGAGAATGTGCGACATAAATGGATTGAGGAAGCCCGTGAACGGTGTCCCGATGTGCCTGTCATTCTGGTGGGCCTGAAGAAGGATCTGAGAGAAGACCCGATGGCCATTGAAGAGATGCGGAAGCGGAGTCAAAAGTTTGTTACGTCGCGAGAAGGCGCTGAGATGGCTCAGGCTTGTGGCGCTCGCAAATACCTCGAATGTTCAAGCTTGACGGGCGAAGGTGTGGATGATGTTTTCGAGGCTGCCACAAGAGCTGCTCTTCTGAGGTTTGATGGTAAGCAAGGTGGCGGCGGATGTTGCGTCATTCTGTGATGCACGACACAAGATTGGACTTGGATGAATATGGGCTGGGTTGGAAAAACACAATGGGCGGCTGTTTCCCCTTGGATCAACACAAGTTGGAGGACGCCACCACCGAGGGACTTAATACCGACACTCAAAAATGATGAAAAGGCGGACGTTGTACCTTTCCCTCTTGGACAAATGAAGTCTTGAACCGGGGCACGAAGTCTGGGGACGGATTGAACCATACCAGGCATGAGCTTGAATCTGTGCGACACGAGACGAACGAATTTTTTCATACTCGATTTAGCGAACTGACATCAACGATGGACCTTTCTACTGTATGCCTTCGTCATTTTTTTCAATCCGGGTTTGATGGTCAAGGAAGGTTTGGTCACTGGCGTGACAGATACAAAAAGTTCCCCAAAGCCTTTTCCTCGGTGTATATTATACCTGTGTATATATACATTGTCGATTCCTTGTCTCGCTCACTTCTCCTTGTTTGAGGATTACCGTCATGTAGGCACATGCAATGACCTACGCATGCTCGTCCGGGATATATTTGTTGCTCTCGGGCATTGGGAGGGACTTTGTGGATTAGACCATGACCAGAACTTTGTGTTTCGCCGACAGACCGTTCCGGCCCTCACACCCCGATTCTGGCCTTGACCCTGGCATCAAGCTGAAAGAGAATCAGAACATTCGCCTGGACGAGACTCTTGCCCTTTTCCTTCCTCCCCACCCTCTTCCGCTCTGCTCTGCTAATGGAATCTAGAGCACCAAGTAACCCTTTTCATTTCCTCGCGCCCAACCGTCAATATATCCCTTGTGGTGTCCGATCGAACGTGGTGATTGTAGAACTTCCGAGTCCACCATCCACCACAGACAGGCGTGGTCTGTCGGCATGAATGTCTTGTATTATACATAGTTCCCTTGCTTCGCTGGCGGCTTGAACCAAAATCTCTCCGGCCGGGGTCACTCGATTTCTGTCACCATAAAGCCGGGGTTCCTCTTTGCGTCTTTCTTAAGATTCGATTCGTGTGATCCTTGAGGACAGAAATTAATGTCTTTTCCACGCGTAATCCCAGATCTTGGCCTTGCTGCCACTTCCTTCGCCGGCGCCTTCTTCCACTCCAGCACCCAATCCGCCCGTGCTGCCCACCCACTCGACCAGCCCACGGGCGTACTCGATGGGGACGCCTCCCCTCCCTCTGGCCGCGGGACCCGAGGCGGCGCCCGGCCCACCTATGCCCCAAACACCGGTCTTCATCTGGGCTTTGCGGAACAGGCGCCCTCCGTCGCCGGCGCCGATGCGGAGTTCTTCATTCGCGTCCCGCATCGCGTTGTACTGGCGCTCCAGCTCGAGTTCGCGCGACTTTTTGAGGTTGTGCCGATAGAGATTCCATGCACGAGCAATCGTCCAGTGTCGGAGGTATCTGTTGCGCGAGAAGCGGAGCGGGCGCGGCGTGAGGGTGGTGGGGTGGTGCAGGAAATAGCGTATCAAAGCTGAGGAGAGTTAGTTGTTAGCACCATTGGGGAGAGGTGAGAGGTGGCAAAGAATTGTCTGTGGGTTAAAACCCTCGTACAATATATTGGCTAAGGCTGGCGCGAGATGGGAGAGACGATTATAGAGTAGAGGATCTGACGGAAAAGCCTAGGGAAAGGATGCACAGAGGAGCCAGCAGAAACGACGCGCGACCAAAGAAATAAGAGACTCACTTATTCGTCTGTCAGGTCTGCCACCACCTTTCTTTTTCGCATACTGAGCAGCACTTGTTGAGAAAGACAACCTTGAGCTCGTCGCCCCTTGAGGTGTAGCTTTGCTGTTCAAAGAAAACGATGTCGGAATCACTCTGCGCAGCGACGGGCGAGCCGTGATCTGGAAAGCATGTGCCAGCGCGGCACGGATCGAAGAGGCGTGCATCTGTAGTCGCACCAGGTCTAGCCAGAAGACTGAGTCGTGGGGTGGGAAGACCGATTTCGCAAGAATCCCCTAGATTGAGAATTGAAGTCGTTCTAAATCTTGAGCTTGACTTCAATTGAACCGACAGGGTCTGGAGCAAACTTTCACGGACAAGGCTGAATGCTTGGCATGTTTGTAGTATCCAGCCTTGCATGGGCCATGATGCCGGCTAAAGTGTAAGGTATGTACTCATACAAAGGATTCAATTCAGCACAGAACCAAGATCGGATGCAAATGTGAGTCCCAATCCCCAAGGGTTCATATTAGCCTCAGATAAGTCTCTAAGGGAGTAGTCCATAATGTCTGTCTATGACTGAATAGAGGCATTCCAATTCTGCCAACTTCACCAGGCTTTCTCATTCCGATCCATCAGGTCATAGTCAATAACGATTCGTGAGAACCCTTATACTAAATATTGTTTCGTTCGCCGATCAAAATTCATAATGCGCCTCTGTCGATGTCCCTGGGCCAGCTTCCATCTGCAGTACAGCAATAAAGCGTCTTTGAGCACCACGAAAAGGCATCCACCCACGACACTTCTTCCCCACTTCGTCGACAGCAGCCCGGGTCGGCCGTTCGTGTAGTTGTTGTAAGTCAGCCATGATGATGGCAAGACACAGCTGATGAGATTGCCCATTCCTGCAGCAACTGCAGGGAAGACTAACGCCCCAAGGATAGTCTGTCCAATACTGCCACTACCATCCACAAGATCGTGGCGGCCCAATATTCGACGAACGTGTTGGTTTTCTGGTTGACCTTGCACATTGGCTCCATTCACGGCAGCGGCACCCTGTTCGTCGCCAAGGCCTTCATCATCATCTTCGCCGTTCAAGTTGACATCAATTTGAAGAACAACTTCGCCCTCCTCGACTATTTCTTCCACATCGTCCTCATTATTGTCGCCACCGTTTTCCCCTGGCACGTCCCCTCGTTCATTGTGTCTGGGTTGTACTTCTGCTAACCACTTGCGGTTGAGGTCACAGAATGCCTTGTGGTAGCACCAGTTGTAGATTGATCTCATGGCAGGTAAGCAAGCAAATACAGTGCTTGGTAGGGGTGGCCATATCGTCATGTCAATATCAAACTTGTCCGTGATCTGTGTGGAAAGAAGGATCAAGCTGCTTCCCGGGAGCGCAAAGTCGGCATAGTCGGTACGGGCGAGAATCAGATTGACGGGGATCAGACTGTACATCCAAGCAAACTCGCTCCGTTGTATCGCGTACCTAAAGACTCGATCCGCGTCGTGATGACCAAACACCAAATAGACGGACTGAAATCCATGAAACCATGCCCCAGCCCATAGTGTACCGACAAAAGAAAGACCCAGACCCGGTAGAACCAATTTTCCCAGTGTCCGATCAAGTGCGCGGTAGCTGTCTACCACGTAACTTCTCGGTCTTAATATTCTGATTTCAGATTTGCATTGAGGACACAGAATGTGTCCAGAGTTCTTGTTCTTATTTTTAGGGTTCTCCAGGTCGGCTACCCAGTCCAACAGGCATGCCTCGTGGGCAGTCAGACTGCAGGAGCACGGCGAACGCCAGATTGGGGGGTTGTTTGGGTCATCCTCGCTTTTGTCACTCATACATATCCAACATTTCGGTCCGAAGGTTGAGGCTCGTGAGGGCGCCGGCGGTCGTGAAGTCTTGTCTTCTGGCGACGGCGATGGTGCGGCATTGTTGTCGGTTGGCGCTGAGTCTGCGGAGGTGTGATCAAGCACGACGGTTTCAGCGCCTTCTGAATCCATAGCGAAGGCCGATGCCTGGGGGAAGAGGAAGAGGAGTTGCGGGCCACTTCAGTTGTCCAAGTCAAGGCAGGCTGAGGCCACGCACGCCTTGAAGAAGTCGGCAGAATTTAGTTATTCATGTGTCGTGGCGAGTGTGTCAAAGCATCCCGGTAGTACACAGAGCAAAGGCGATTCCTTGGTTCACGTTAGGAAACAGATCGTGTGTCTCGGTCATTGTGGTTCGACTGGGCGAACAGGCACGGCAGGCTCGCTCCCTCGCTCGGCGCATGGTGCTCCGCAGATACGTAATTGTCGCTGTTATTGTGACAATCTACATCTAACTGTTTTAGGCTAGCGCTATGCAAGTTCTCTCGGCAAGCCTTCAGACAGATTCTGGCGCTTTACGAGGCACTTGATATGAGGTGCCTTGTAGCTTCACCTCCATACGATGCAATCATCCTTTAGCACCTTGAACGACATCATGTCCTCGCCTTTGTAGCGCAAGCAGTCTCAGCGCTCATCCCAGCGAGCTGGGAGTGTCACATATGTATCGAGCTCTGGACGTCGCACAACTGCGAATAGGTACCCCTTGCTTGAGATGCCCTGAAGATACCATTAGCAGAAAAGTTACACTCATCGACAGAGATGTTCGGTTCAGCAATTGCTGTGCTCCCTCGTCAATCGATAGTCGAGCATCATCCCTTCGAACCAGATCGACCCTTGAGATAGTGTAATGTCCTCGTATAGAAACCCATTTAGAACTGGTCTGATATCATCCCAAGTGAAGATCTGTATCGACCAAGCAAGCTCAGCTAGTTTCTGGTTGAACCGCTGTTGGTTTGTTGGAGCCTGGTCGAAGGGGGTGCCACGCTCAACTAGAGAGCCAACGTACAATGCCCACATCCTCGCATTCAGAAACTCGTTCCCCAAGCCCCGTGCTGCAAACGCCTCGCAGTGTTCTAGAGCATGCCATAAAGCACTCAAGAGCTGACAGTCTTCATAAATTGGCACGCCCATGATTTGTGGACTGTAATGCGTCCACTTCAGGAGCTGGCACGCTGCCAGCGCGAGGGCTTGGTGACCATACAGATAGCTTTCGACCTCGTCATTCAGTCCCTCGCCTTTGAGCCTTTCCTCGTTGTCCAGAAAGTAGTTGATCATACGACTGTAGAATAGAAACGAGACAGCCATCACAGACGTGGTCACCAGTGGTAGAGGTGGAAGGCTCTCACTGGCGGTATTCTGAAGCTTTTCGTATTTGAGCATCTGCCGACGCTTTTTGAACCAGTATGTCACAACCTCGTCTTGTATCGCGCCATCCAGTGCTTCTTCGGGAAATACAGGCATATATGGAGCAGCGGCGTCCCAAAGTGGCTTCAACACGTCAGGCAACCAATCGCCCTCGTCGAATATCGGACGGGTTAGAAACGTAGAAGTGAACTGTAGATCGTTGTGTAGTTGATACAGCAACATTTTATAATCAAGTCGTTGTTCTCTCCATCGCTGTCTCAAGACATGCAAAAGCATTTTGCCGTGCACAAGGGCTCCGGAGGAATTGCCGTTGATGATCTCGGCATTGAACAGCATGTTCATGTGCAAACAGCCAACGGTGTCGTGCACGTCCTCACTGCGCGAGACCTTATCTCTGAGTGCTCGAATACTCTGATGCAGGTATTGCAGGGCTATCGGCCGCATGCCAGGATTCGCTCGGGTAGCTATTGAGCCATAGCGAGCCAAAGTACCGAGCGCAGTCCCTTTGTCTTCGAGCGTGGCCACATTGTCTCGCCAATCTCGCATAGCAAGCTCGTTGAGGATTTTGTCACCAATCCTAAAGTGGTACATTAGCGGAAGTATGTAGTCTCGGTAGAGGCTCAGTAGATTGTTTTCTTGGGGTCCAATGGCAACGGAGTAGACATGGAATGGGTCCGAATTCCCTCTACCCACTAGTGAGAGAGGCGAGAGGGGCCTAGCAAGGGCATAAGGTGTTACAGACGACGGTTGTAGCAACGAGGCCGGCTGGTGAACCTCGTCCGTCCTGGAATGGACTCTCCTCTGATTCCGGCCTGATGAGGACTGAGTTGTCTTTACAGCTTCGCGACGCTTCCGAGCTCGGTAATTGGTTTGGACGTGCGAATATATCTGACGCCTGAGCGGCAGCGCGAGTGTATTTTCTGCGTCATGGTGGACCCAAAGCAGTTGGTTGTTTGAAGGTATAGTCGTAGGAGATGGCCTGCTCCCAGTGCTCTCCATACCAACCCTGAGCAAGACCAACAACCATCAAAGTGAGACAGTGGGCTTTTTCACAACTCATAGCTTGAGAGTGCGGGATGGTCCTTCTTAATGGCCTGGGTATTTGGCGATCAGCACTGTATGAGAGGCCTCACCATACTGAAGTCCAGGAGGCATTGTTCTCCACAGCGCCAGCAAAAAGCGGGATTGGCCTTGGGTCATGCATGCTTACAAATAGGCCAAATTCATCGCGTATAAAAAGCCTTATATCATTGGGCTACGAGCTACTCGATGCAGTATTGACCCTCGCCGGTGTGCCCCTGGCCGGGGCGTTGGGTTTGTGATGTTGACGGATCTTACACAAGCGTTGGCAAGTTGATGCAGAAAAGAAGTCAGAAACGATAAGATTCGGCGCTGACGTTTTTCCGTTCCGAGCGCGTCATTTGTGATGCGTTGCGATGCAACTTCACTTTTTGTGCCAAACTTCAGACTGGTTTCCCCCCCTCCAAACCCTAGAGTCTTGAAGCTGCTGTCAGAGCTGTCCGGCCGGTTAACCAAATCCACTTTACAAGAGTCAAATCACGCCATGACAGCTCTAGTGCCAAAGGTTGACAGCCTCGACCATGTGTATGCAGGAGCATCTGAAGGCCACACGGTGCCGGTTGAGCTCGAGCAACGCTTCAAGAATTTGATCCAGAGTTTCCAAAGTGATTATGGTCACAAGCCAGATTTTGTATCCAGAAGCCCGGGACGAGTCAACATAATCGGCGAACATGTCGACTACTCGCTCTACAATGTCTTGCCAACTGCTCTCACTGTGGATGTGCTGATAGCCGTTCGCATTATTTCCCGCGAGAATGGAGGCGCAGCTGAAATCAAGATCGCGAATGTAAATCCTGCAAAGTATCCATCCAGGACGCTGATCATACCAGACTCTGGCGCAGTCGAAATCGACCGCGAGAATCATTCATGGAGCAATTACTTCTTGGCTGGGTTGAAAGGGTCTCTCGAATACCTCCGAAAGCAATTTGGCGCCTCTTTCAAGGCCAATGGCATGGAAATCCTGATTGATGGAAATGTCCCAGCGGGCGGTGGGTTGTCTAGCAGTGCAGCCTTTGTCTGTGCTTCTGCGCTGGGTGTCATGGCCGCAAATCACCACGACATCTCGAAACAGGCTCTGCTGGACCTTTGCATAGTGTCGGAACGTGCGGTCGGTGTCTTCTCGGGAGGCATGGACCAAGCCGCATCTATCTTTTCTGAAAGAGGCTATCTCCTCTACTGCCGCTTCTTCCCAGAATTCTCCGCAGAGCACGTGCCCGTCCCAACATCAGATCCAGAAGTCACTTTTCTGATCGCACAGTCTTTCGTTACCTCTGATAAGGCGGTGACTGCCCCGATTCATTACAACCTCAGGGTCGTTGAGTGTACTCTGGCCACTGTGGTGTTAGCAAAGCTCCACGATATTGCTCTGAATCCAGATCAGAGCTCGCTGGGATTCTGCCTGCGAAACTTTCAAGAGGAGATTATGAAGAAGGAAGGTCGCACGGATGAGCCGCTAGCCGCTCAGGTCGAGTCCATGGTCGAGATCATCAAGTCAAACCTCAAAGACGAGGGCTACACCAGACAAGATATTGCCGAGATTCTGGGCATCTCCGTGGAAGAACTTGAAAAGCAGTACATGTCAAAGTTTCCGATTCGAGCAGATGTTTTCAAGCTGAAGCAGCGCGCCTTACATGTCCTGGAAGAAGCCGGACGTGTTCTCAAGTTCCGAGAGGCTTTGACGACCTCGGGGAAATTGACTGAAGAGAAGTTGCTCTATCTTGGCGACCTCATGAACAGGACACAAGCTTCGTGTCGAGATGTATACGAATGCTCTTGTCCGGAGATTGATCAGATCTGCTCCATCGCCCACAACGCCGGGGCCTATGGAACTCGACTCACAGGCGCAGGCTGGGGTGGCTGCACGGTGCATCTGGTACCACAGCATAAGGTGGCTGCCGTGACCGAGGCCCTCAAGCGAGAGTACTATTTCAAAAAGTTCCCAGACATCAGCAAAGACAAGCTCGAAGAAGCCATTGTCGTGTCGAAACCCAGCCAAGGGTCATCGCTGATTGTCGGTGCGGCGCTTGATGTATAATTGGGAGCAGGTACTTCGTGGCTAAGAATGATGCTGGATGGTTGTATGGGGGACAAAGGATTCCATGCTCCGGCATCTACTGGAGACCTCTGATCCTCGCTCACGTTGCGACACGATATAGATGCCAGTCAGGGTTGATCATCTGGGCCTCGGTGGTGGTGGTCAACCTGCGCACGATCCTCTGCCTATTTACACATCTGAACAGCCATGATTTCTTCGAACAACAAAGACATAATCCAGTACAATAACCTCGGATTTATGTACTTGAGGCATCCACCATTCGATGAATGATTACTCAACTCAAACCGCGGTGCCCGGCTCAATTCCCACTGGCCGCAACAAACGCCATGCCTCGCTTAATTACAGCCGTTGTAACCACCGTGTCCACTAGCTTTGCTTTACTATGACGCCGGGTGGGAACCAGTGTCCTGATATCGATCCTCAGACCACGGTAACTAGGCTGTTGTAAGCTTAGCAGCTACCTTCAATGCCCTATATTGGCCAGAGAAGTGGGCGACAATCTTCTAAGCTCCCGTTATTCCACCAAAAGTTTCTTCACTATGGCCTCTTTCTCGGCCTCTTGTCGCATGCACCTACAAGCATCTGGCCATGTGTTCTGTATATCCTGGGCTGACTATTCGTAACTACCGCAAGG